GCGGGAGGGGTGGGGGAAGGGGAGAGATGGGGGGGGAGAAGACGGGAGGGGACAGGACGGGAAGAGCCCCCAGCTGGGGACTCAGCGACTCAAGTCCCAGTTCTCGCTCTGCCTGGACCTCCTGAGGGCGCTGAGGCAAACCAACTCCTTCGACGTCGGTTTTCTATTAGAAACGGTGGGAGCTGGACTTTGATTGCTTAGAGTCCTCTGCTTTTTTTTGAGATGAGCAAAGTGGGTTACTCTTTCCTCCGGTAGATCCTCTGCCTCTGCCCCCACCCCCTTGCAGGCTCCACCCATCCTCCTCCACACTTACCCAACCATTTGCCTTCCCATTCATTCACTCACCTAGCCATCCATCTGCCCACCACCCATCCTCCCTTCCACGCATCCACTTAACCATCCACCCTCCCGCCACCCATCAACCCATCCACCTGCCAGCCATCCACCACTCATCCATCCTCTCATTCCTTCCTCCCATCCACTTTGTCCCCTACAAGGATGGTGCCATTTAGGTCAGCTCTGCTAGGTTTCTGGGTTAGCAGCCCCAGGAAACCAGAGGTAAATATGAGGAGAGGAGAGTGAGGCAGGACTACAGTCACCAGCAGCCCTTGCTGTATAGAAGATTACAACAGTGTCCTCAGAGGCAGGATCCTGTCCTGGAAGACCAGTGGGGAGATCTAGTTATATGAGTCCCAGCTACCCTTTCTGGGTATCTCGTTCAGGGGTACCCTTCCAGATTACTAGGACCAAAGCTGAAGAATGTAAAAGAATTGAAACCAGACACCCCCATGGGACTGAAACAGAAGCTGCGGAACCAGCCTTGCTCCACTGTCCACTGTAGGGACAGTGGCAGGAATGGCGGCACACAGCAGGGCAGAGGCCATCTGGAGAGCCGTGGCTGGTGAAAAAGCAAACTGTTTTTCTTCTTCAGATTCACCACTTACAGGGGGATTCCTCCAATGCTCCCCTCTGTCTGCGCCCCAGGGTTCTCATACAAAACAAATTATTCTCTAAGTTTTACTGAGCACCTCCCCTGTGGCAAGTTCTAGGGACACGCAAGTAAGCAGATGATCCCAGTCATCCCTGGGGACAGTGTGACCAGCGCTGTCTAATAGTAATAGCCGTGTGTATATTTTGAAGTTTTCCAGTAGCCACATTAGAAAAGTAGGGACAGGTTCAAAACATTACCAAAGTCCAAAATATTACCATGGCAATATATAGTCAATATTGCATAGTTAAGGACATAATTTACATCTTTTTAAAAAATTGTATTATGTCTTAAGAATCCAGTGTATATTTTATACTCAGAGCACATCTTGATCCAAATTAGCCACAAATCAAATGCTCAATAGCTGCAAATGGCTGGGAGCCACATAACAGTCATCTCAGGCCTAAGAGGGGAGCATAACAAAACAGGCAAATAGACAAAGAATTTACAAATGGTCACATTTTTCTATAAAGGGAGAGGGGGGAGGAAGGATCTCTGAATAGGTGATATTTGAGATGGCCTGGCATAGAAGAAGGATCCAGCTATTTAAAGAGTGGAGAGCGCATTTCCAGCAAAAACAACAGTACAGGAAAAGCTGTGGGGAAAGCTTGGCTTTTGGGAAGATCCAGTGGGATTGGAGGGGTGAGAACCAAGCGGAGGTGGTAAGAGACAGGTTAAAGAGAACGAGAGATCTAGCATGGAGGACCATGTTGGGGACTGAGGGCTGACATGACTTAATTTTCCCAGAATGTCCCACTCTATAGATAACATAAAGAAATACTGGTAAAGGGGCAAATAACTGATTCATGTTCAGAACCCTGGCCTCAGCAGCTCTGTGAACCTGAGAAGGCAGCCAAACCCCTGGGTCTGGTTCTTCATCCATATGGGGGCAATTATTACAGCTTTTTACTTCGACTCAGTTATTGGTGGTCATGGCGGTGGGGAGGATAACCAGGTGCAGGTGCAAAAGAACTCTACCATGATAAAAACCCTAAAAAGAAGCAATATAGTACCTAGATTTTACACATTTAATATCTATGTGCTGTTTAGCCTTTGAAAGTGTTGTTGCAAAGCCTAATTTGCCTTAAATATCATGAAGGGACTGTTTCATAAAACCAATATTATGAAGATGTTAAAATATAGGTATGGGCATTTTTAAAAAATTGTTTATTTATGCATACAAGAATTGGGGCATAGGCCAGAGGTGTGGGGAGGAGGTGAAAGGATTCACCAGAGACAGAGTGGGGAGCAAAACAGGTAAATCTACTGAAATACACTGCTGAGGGGAGCAGTGGGTCAGGAGAGGTCTGCTGTACCATGGGGGTCACCTCCCTGGGCAGGGATTGAACTCGTGCTGCAGTGGCTACAGATAGTGTCATAGTGCTGTGCTTTAACACGTTGCACTACCAGGGAGAGTCTGGTATGGGTATTTTTAATATAAATATAAATTATATTTATATAATTTTTCCCTGTGGCAGGGATGCTGCAGGCTGCAGACAGCTGGACTGTAAGAGAGGATGCAGCTTCCTTCCTGCTTGCTGGATCTCCTGTGCTGTAGCCTTCAGTTGCCATGTAAGCAGGTAGGCTTGTTGGAAAGCCATGTTGTGGGGAAGCCCAAAACAGTGCCCCCTCAAGGCACCACATGGAGGCTGGGGGTATGTGCAAGAGGTGCCTGCCCAGCTTCTGCCCTTGCAGTTCCAGCCATCGCCTGAACCAGAGGACCAAGGGAAGCCCTCCTGAATTCCTGACTCACAACACCCGTGAACATAATAAAATGCTTGTTTCAAAAATCAGCAAACGAAAATACCTTGCATTCCCTTTGCTTAAAATCCTCCAGCAATTCATTGTGCTAGGCAAAATAATAGTCACTCCAAAATGCCCCAACTCTAAATCCTGGAGAGTGTGTGTATGTTATATTAAAGAGAAGGGAGAATTACAGTTACAGATGGAATGAAGTTGCTGATTTTCTGATAGTGATTTTGGGGAGGCTACCCTGGATTGTCCGGGTGGGTTCAATGTAATCAACAGGATCCTTTAAGTGAAAGAGGGAAGGAGGAGAGTCAGAGGGGAGGTGATGACAGAGCAGAGATCTATGGTATAACTGCTGACTTTGAACCCGGAGAGGCCCATGAGGCAAGGAATGCAGATGGAAACACAAGGAGGCTACTGGACCCTCCTGAAGGAACTCAGCCCCTTAATTTTAGCGTAGTGAGACCTATTTCAGACTTCCGATCACAAGAAGTATAAACTAACCCATTTATGTTGTTTTAAGACATTCCATTTGTGATAATTACACCAGCAATAAGAACCTACATAACTCATCAACACTCTTAGGAAAAAGCCCAATCTGTTTAGCATAGCGAATAAGGTCTGCAGGATTTGGCTTCTGTCACTGTGATCTTGAGCCTATTTCTTCACCTTAATGGGTCTTGGTTTCATCATCAATAAATAGGGAGGGAAAAAGCCCTATAGATATATATAGTGGAGTTAATTGAGAATGAAAGTGCCTGGTAGAGCGACTGGTAAAGTCTATCATCATTATCACCATCGTCACTAGTATTATCATGGAGCAATTTACATGGATTTAGCAGGTCTGGGTTCTGCTCCCCTCTCCAGGGCTCAGTTTCCACATTTCTAAAAAAACAGAAGTAAAACCACACACATTTGGTAGCTCATCTCTTAGTCCCGCCTCTTCAGCCACTTCCTCAGACATGCCTCGATGATTCCAGTCCTCCTAGAAAGTTCTTCCTATCCCCTTTACCAGGCTAACTCCCATTTCCTCCTGAAAGTCTTTGCCAACCCCAGTTACAGTTGGTTAGACCTCACTGATATGAAATCCCCAAGTACACTAAACTTTTCTCTCATAGTGCTGATATTTTTTTTAACTGCTGTGGCTTGTATTTTTACCACTTAGAGGAACAAAAATAACAAACAAACATGTTGACCTATTTGCTTCAATTGTGATATATATATGCATATATATATATATATAAATTCCATATTCCATATATATATATAAATTCCAAGTAAGCTTGAAATAGTTGAAGTTCCCTCTCCACCCCCTCTTTCTATACTCTCTCCATAGAGGCAGCCACTACCATGAATTTACTGTTCTTCTTTCCAGTCCATATTTGTAAACATATTTATTACCTATATGCTGATTAGTGTATAGGATATACCTTTGTGTGTCTATAGTTTACACAAAGTGTAATCTTTAAAGATATTTATCTTTTTTACCTTTCTTTTTTTCACCTAACTATAGGTTTGGGGATATTTTCATGTTAATTTAGATCTAGATCATTCCTTTTTATCACTGTATAGTGTTTTATTATGAGGACATATCTTATTCCACTTTATTCCCTCTACTAGTGGGTTGTTTCTAATATTTTCACTATGAAAAAGAATGTTGCAAAGAACATGCCTTCTACATATGACTTACGCACAGATGTGAGAATTTCTTTAGTCAGCTCTGTCACTTTGCATGTTAGTAGCAAAATGGTTGTACAGATGCATTTGGGGAACCTGTAAACTACATGTCCAGTATTGGAAATGATGGGGTTCAAGAGGTGTGCGTTCTCAACTTTATGAGATGTTGCCAGAATGACTTCCAAGTGTGACTGTACCAGCAGCCCATAAGTTTTCCATTTCCCAGCATCCTCATAATACTTGGCAGTATGTATGTTTTCTATTTTTGTCTAAGTAATGTATTTAAAATCATCTCTTGTAATTCTTTTGATTTGCATACGTCAATTTGCTTAGTGGCTATTACAGACTCCCTATTGGCTTGAAGTCCCCTATTTATATTCTTCACCCATTCTTCCTTTGTTTTGCAGGAGTTATTGTCTTAATGGCTTATAGGAGGGTTTTCAGTCCTCATCTTTTATTCTACATGCTGCAGATTTTCCTCTGTCTGTAGCTTGTCTTTTAATCAAATTTGTGATTTTTTTTGTTATGTGAGTTTAAAATTTGAGAGTCAATAAATCAATTCTTTCCTGTATGAACTATGCTTTATAAGAAATCCCTCCTAGTCTTGAAACTATAAACATACTTATATTTCTGAGTGTTTGAAATATTTGTCACATTTATTATTTTTTTTAAAGATTTATTTATTTGTACAGAATCGGGGTACAGGCCAGAGATCTGGAGGGTGAGAGAATTTACCAGAGACAGAGTGGGGGTGCAGAACAGGCAGATCGACAAAGTACACTGCTGAGGGGAGCAGCGGGCAGGTCAGGAGAGGTCTGCCTCACCATGTGGATCTCCTCCAGGGCAGGCGGGGATCGAACTCATGCGGAAGTGGCTTAAGCTTCTTTGTGCTGTGCTTTAACCCGCTGCGCCACCAGGGAGAGCCACAAATATATATTTTTAAACAAGATCTTTCAAATATTCTGATTGAATTTAGGGAAATACCATTTTTATATTATTGAGTCTTCCCATCCATGAACATGATATATCTCTCCCTTTATTCAGGCCTTCTTTAATATCCTTCAAGAATGTAATTTTCTTTTAAGAATATAAACTTTACAAGAGCAGGTGATTATTGGTTTTGTCCACTGCTGTACGTTCAAAGTCAAGAATATGTCATGGTATTGATTATATACTCAATAAGAATTTAATGAAATGTCTTTGTTAGATCTACTCCTATATAACATATCATTATTGTTAAAAACAATAATTTAAAATGTAGTCTCTAATCAGTTACGGTATGGCTGGTATGTAAATCTCTGGGCAGTGGGAAAGTGAGGCACGGAAGGACCGGGAGTCCATGCAATAGCTAGTAAGGTAAATGCAGCAGAGAGACATTGTAGGGTTTGTTTTTAAAGAACTCTTTGGCTGCAGGGCAGAGAATGAATTGTAACCCATAAGGCAAGAGTGGACATTAAATAGATCAGGAGACCATAGCAGGTGTTGAGGAGAGTCCTGGTATAGGGTTTGTGCCTAAGAATTAGAATAATGAACAGAAAGCAGAAGTGAACGATTGGCCGCGCTACCAACACACCGACTGACCAGGTGACCTAGTGCGGGTCCAAGTAAGAAAATTTAGTACCATTGCATTTACCAATAACTGACTTTTCTGACTCAGGGTTCTTAGGTCAAGTTAAGTGCACCTGGAGGTGGATCTACAGAAAGTTGCCGCGGCGGGGTGGGCTGGGGGGGGGGGGTGGGCAGCCAGACTCTGTCAAGGTGTGGCCCCAGGGTCGAGGAAGCAAGGGGCGCAGAGAGAAAGGCTGGAGGAGTAGAGGGCTTTGGGATGCCTGGACGCCGAGTTTCCAGAACCTGGGAGTCAAGCGTACAGCGCCTGGAGGAGTGTCGTTGTTCATCCAATCAGAGCGGCCGGTCCGGACCCTCTGTCGCCTTGACAACGGGAAACTCAAGCTCGCGCGGGGCGCGGTGGCGGTTTGGCCAGTCCCTCGGGAATCGAGTCATGTCGCGACCGAAGGTAGGAGAGTCGCCCGGTCCAGATGTCTTCATGGTCTCGGGAGATGGGGGGAGGGGAGGGAGGAGGGGAGGGGCGGATCGCGGAGGAATCAAGAACTATGACTTTAGCGGAGGGATTCTGAGTAGAATGAAAATGATTAATTAATTCCGTGGAAAAACTACAAGTCCCAGCGTGCCGCGCGCCTCCCGAGCTTTCTCCGGGGAGTCGGGCGGGAAGTTTACAAAACTCTGGGATTCGAAGCTGTATTCATCAATTTCTCTGAAGCCCAAGGAAGTAAAGAATTTTGGAAAGCTTGATCTGGAAAAGATCTTAGAGATCGATTCATCCTGCCTAGCCTAGCCGTCCAGACATTCGTAACCCATTCATTCCTTACTCCCCGCCCCCCCCACCACCAAAGCCATGCTTAGTGGTCAGTGGGCAAACAGGTGAATAAGACAAGCCACTGTCCTCTAGAAGGGCAAAAGTAACCCCCCCCCCACACACACACACTAGTCCAGCTCTCCCCTACCCCAAACTGCTGCATATCCTGCATTCGTCCTCTCATGAACAGCACTTATTTCTTTAACTCCTTCTCATAACATAAAAAAATCCTGAGTAGGGCTCTCCCTGGTGGCACAACGGGTTAAAGCACCGCATTGTGAGGCTCTTGGAGGCCACTGCAGCACAGTTCAATCCCCCACCAGGGAGTGACCCACATGGCACGGCAGACCTCTCCTGATCCGCCCGCTGCTACCCTTCGCAGTGTACTTCGTTGATCTGCCTGTTCTGCTCCCCACTCTGTTCCTGGTGAATCTTCTCACCCACCACTCCTCTGGCCTATACCCCAGTTCTGTACACATAAATAAGTAAATCTTTTAAAAAAAAATCCTAATCTGATTATCTAGCCTAATCTGCAACCTTAATTTCCATCTGAACCTTAATTTCCTTTTGCCACAGAATGTAACATTCTTACAGGTCCTGGTGATTAGGACATGGACATCTTCTAGGATAGAATTATTCTGCTTTCCACAATATGCTATCATCAAACAAGTAAATGAAATTTAAGATACAATTTATGATAGTTTCATACAATCAAATTCCTATGAATAAATGTTAAAATGTTCAAAACTTCTATACTGAATACATTGTGGGGAGAAATTAAAGATGACAAATTAATAAAGAGATAAGCCATATTAATAAATTGGAAGACAGCACTTGTATGATGCCACTTTTTTTTTTTAAGATTTATTTACTTATTCATACAGAACTGGGGTACAGGCCAGAGATGCAGAGGGTGAGAGGATTCAGGGACAGAGTAGGGTGCAGAACAGGCAGATTGACAAAGTACACTGCTGAGGGGAGCAGTGGGCGGGTCAGGAGAGGTCTGCCTCACCATGTGGATCTCTTCCAGGGCAGGCGGGGATCTAACTCATGTGGAAGTGGCTTAAGCTTCTTAGTGCAGTGCTTTAACCCGCTGTGCCACCAGGGAGGGCCTATGATGTCACTTCTTACCAAAATGCTTATAGATTCAATGCACTCCTAATCAAATTCCCAGCATGCTTTTTTGTATAGAAATTAGCAAGCTGGTTCTAAAATTTGCATTCAAATGAAAGGAACCGAAATTGCAAAGACAAGCTTGAAAAAAGGTTGGAAGTCTTATGCTACCTGATTTAATGATTTACAAGAATCCTACAGTAAGACAGTGTGATAGTGACACAAGCGTAGCCAACTAAGTAGATAGGAGAAAACACATTCTAGGACAGACCTGCATATTCACAGATAATTGAATTTTGATAGAATATTCAATATTCAATGTCCTGTAGTTCTGTTAGGAAAGAAAAGCTTTTCAACTGAAAACTGTAGCAACATGGAAAATGGAATTGAAAACATGAGAATGTAGAACATATAACCTAGAAAGATTAGGACTCAGCGAGTGCTGAGGTAGTTGGAGGGTTTGAATCAATAATTGGAACATGATTTCACTTGCTTTGCGGAGGGGAGGGAAGCTTATTTTTGCCAGTTTCCTAAAGCAGTATCCTCTATCCTCTGCCACCAGCTTTTTGGGGAGTTAGGATGGTGTGGTTGGCAGAATTCTAAGATGGGTCCCTAGGTTTCCACCCTGCAGCATGCACACCTTGTATACTTTCCTACCTTGCATGCTTCTCTTCCTTTGAGTGTGGATGGAGCCTGTAAATTTAATGGGAGTGTTATTACCATGACCACAACACATTATACTAGACTCCATTGTAGCTGATTCAGAGAGGGGAGGTTCAGAAATCAGAGATATATTCCCATTGGCCTCAGTGAAGGAAATCACACATATTGTAAACTGCTTTGGGCAGTTGAAATGAGCAGCAAATGGCATCTAGAAGCTGAGAGCAGCTGTTCCTAGCCAATGGCTACGAGTCAATGGGACTGCAGTCACACAATCCCAAGCAATTGGATTATGCCAACAACCTGGAAGGTCTTGGAAGAGGACCCTGAGTCCTGAGCAAGAAACCATAATCCAGGCCACCTGGTGCATCCTGGTGAGATGTGAGAGGATAATCTGTCTTTGCTGTGCCCAGACTCCTGACCTGTGGAAACTGTGTGATATAAATCTGCACTGTTTTAAGTCACGAAATGTGGTAATTTGTTTCTCATGTTAGAAAACTAATGCAGATGGCAAGTCTGTGCAAGCTGTGAAATCATCCTGTACAAGATCAATTTTAGTTTCTTTTCATTTGTGCCTATTTGTGCCTTAGGAATTGGTTTTACCAAGACAGAGCCAAACTGTGTTGGGGACAGCGTAGAAACAGAACAATCCCCACCACTCTTTGGAAATTTGAAAGGTTAATTTTAAGTGGGAGAAATGAACATTGATTGTTTGACCCAGCCCTCGCCTGGATGCTAAACAAACATTCAGAATTAGCACAGGAAGCTCACTGCTCACTGTAGAGCTCAGTCCTCAGTACCAGGGTTCAACGTTAGTTCTTACAAACACTGAAAATTGGGTATTCATTATGCTCGTCATGTCTGTGGGTTATGTCTACAGTCAGGGGACCTTGGGTACTTGGGGGTTCATTTCAAGAACTAAATTTCTGGACATACCAGTGACCAGTGAAACTTGGCCAGGCTAGAACTTCATGTTTCAGGATCTGGGCTGTGCTATATCTAATGGTTTGAGCACTTAATCCCCGCAATAAACTGAGCTGTAAAGCAGGGTGGATTTGCAAAAACGGTTACACCACTCTCCTTTTCTCATTGCAGAATCAAAATTACAAGGGCCATGGGTTGTCAAAGGGAAAAGAGCGGTGAGTGGACCCACCCAATCCAGTAAACGCAGCACTGCCTGCCCTCCATCAGTTCCTTCCTCACTCACATTCTTCCATCCCTCCCTCTTCTTTATTTTAGTGATGATGATGATAACCATAGTGATAATAAAATTGACAATTACTAAGCAACTTACCATGTGCTGGCTCCAGAGCTAGCCGATTCACCTGCATTGTGTGATCTTAATTTACATTGACTGTGTGTGTGGGTCTCTCTCTAGAATCTGTCTCCTTCTATGTAGTCACTTATGCTTGTGGCACTTCCACAGTGTAAACTGCATGACACAGACCTTTAGAGTATTGTGTCCCCTCCCTAGATGAGAAAACTGAAGCTTAGAGGGGCTAGGTGACTTGGGGTCAGCTAGGGGCAGAGCTAGCTGGATTCCAGGGCCTGAGTTGTCTCTAACTCTCTCTCCCTTCTTCCTTCAACAACCATGTGCTACTTGACAACTCAAATTTCTGCCCTGATCCTCTGCTTCACGCCCATGTTAGAACAGCTTTTAAAATATTTATTTCTCTCATATAACAGGGTTGGAGGTCTGAAGCAATGGTTCAACAGTGGGAGACAACTAGTGTCTCCATTATTGTCTTGACTTTGTCCTACAGACTCCTTGGGCTGCTGTGTCTTGGAGAACTGTGTCACTAGTGAAACGGAAACTCTAACGTAATCTCTAAGCGATGCCCTCCATCCCTCTGGCAAGCATTATTCTACTTCCAGTCACTCTGATTTTTGACTACTCTAAGCACCTCATACACCTGGGACCATGTTGCCTTTGTCTTTTCGGGACAAGTCTTTTTGGCTTACTTCACTTAATGTAAAGTCCTCAGGAGCTATCCACATTTTGCTAACCTGGTCATCTGCTGGCAGACACTTAGGTTGTGTCCACATTTTAGCTATTGTGAATGCTGCTTCCATGAACTGGGTGTACAAATATGTGTTAGAGGCCTGGCTTCAATTCTTTTGGGTATATATCCAGTGGTGGAATTGCTGGGTCACATGCTAATTCTCTTTTGACTCTCTTGAGGGACTGCCATGCTCCAGCTTACGCTCTCACTAACAGTGTTTCCCTTTTCCCCTATCTTTGCCAACGTTTGTTATTTTTTCCCCCATCTAGCCATCTCAGTGGGTATGCGGTTGCATTTCATCGTAGCTTTGATGTGTATTTCCCTAATGATATAAGTGGGGGAAGTTGCTTTTTGGGGAGGGGGGTTGAGCTGAATAGTTACTGGTGTTTGTGGGTTTTTGTTTTTGTTTTTTTTTTTTTTTTTTTTCTTGCTAGGTTGTCCCTTCTCTGGTCCTTTGGCTAGAAAGAGTAGACTTCTGTTGGAGCTTCGTGTTCTGTGCCCACTGGCATCTCAGGCTTGCCACTTTCTTTGTTTCTACATCTGGGATCTACAGGGCAAAACGAAAACTCAGGGAATGCCCCACCATGTTGTTCCTTGGGTCCTGAGGTTCCTAGCCAGTCCTTGTTGCAAAAGCCTTGTTGCAGGTATCTTGGTGGTTTTCACTGTACTAGTAAGAGACATGACTAAAAGAACTTCTGTGTCATTCCCGAGGTAAATCCCAGAAAAAAGGGTTTGCAAACACCATTAGCTGTAAAGACAAGCCATGGCACAGGAAAAGCACTGGCACATAGTTAGGCATTGAATAAAATGACTGGCATTATTTTTCAAAGATTTTATAATTCTCAATTTTATTATTATTTTTCTTTTACTTTTTCCACTGAGGGAAATGAGAAGACTGAAATATTTGAGCAGAAGAGGGACAGGACATGAATTACATATTTATTTATTTTTATTATATTAGTTTATTTTTACATATTTTTGTGCATTTTTCCATCTCAGTTGCAATTATTGTTTTTTTAAGTTTTGTATGCTGTGATGCTACACTCTGAGATTCAGGAATTCTGTTTTGGCCTTTTCAGGCATGGAATTGATCCTTCTTTCTTTCCCTTCTCCTAGCCCTAGACCATCCCAGGGAAGTAGCTAGTCCTGAATGAGCGTTCTGCGGCCTTGTCTTTCAGAGAACAGAGAGTATCAATCCGATTCAAGACCACACTTGTGAATACGCTCATGGACGTCCTTCGCCACAGGCCTGGCTGGGTGGAAGTAAAAGAGTAAGCCTCCCATCCCACCCCAATTTCATACCACCTTTCTTTAGTCTCACAGGTCCCTGTCTCCCTTTCTTCTCCTAATTCCTCTGGGTGGCCCAGAGCGACCAGCAGCATTTAGTTAGCAGCTATCAGGTGTCTTTCTGACGCCAGCCCTGTCTTATTTAAGCCTTACAACCAGCCAGCAAGATAAAAATGTGTGCAGAAATATTAAGCCAATCGCTTAAGGTCATACAGTCCACATGTGTCCGTGTGCAATTCAAACCAAGTCCAATTTTACTCTGTTGCACAGCCGGTGTCCTGCGGCTGTCTGCAGAATTAATCACAAACCTGCTGACTTGAATCCTCTAGAGATGGCAGGTCCAGGTCAAGGGCTGCCCTTGGCTGCTTACTAATTCTGGGACCTTCAACAACTTACTTGAACTCTAAGCCTACATTTCTTCTTTTATCCCGGGCCCTTGGGACACTGAAATGAAAAAAGTATACACATCGAAAGTGCTTATATTATTTAGGGTCAAGGTTTTGATGCATGGTTGGAGCCACTGAAATCAGTGTGGGGCATGAAATCATGTGACAAGTTTTCTGGGTTGCCATCCTACTCTTAATTTGGGGCTTGGGAAGAAACTTTAGGAAATAGAAACTCAAGACTGGGGAAAGTGTGGACAACCTCTTTGTCTTGTTCAACCTTTCAAGCAATCTAAGTCTTTTGAATTAATTCTTGTAAAAATTTATTTAAAAAACTTAATTGGCAAGGTACATCATACATATAAACACATAAACATTCATGTGTGCATATAATTCAAATTTATATATGCAAATATATTCACATTTTACTACCATTGTGCTTAAGTGTGTAGATTATGCCAGCTAAGGCCCGTTCTTCCTTCCCTCCTGTCTCTTTTTCTTCCTTAAACAAACAAAAAAGCTTTTAAAACATACCAGACGTTATCATGTACTATACACACACACGTCTATAATAAAACTCTAAAGACATTTCTGAGAAATCCAGGTTATTGGCTTCCTTTGGGACAGGAGCAGAGATAGAATCAGGTCAGAATATACTGGGGGCTTCAGTTATACTTGTAATTTTTCACTTAAAAAACCTGGAATCAATCATGGTGCTGTTATTCTATTTCCTGTCACGATCTTGAAGAACCAGCTCTCTGTACCCCAGCTCCGGAATCTGGGTTTGGTAGATTAGCCTGGTTTCCTGTCCTTTTCCCTGGCACGGTGGTGAACAGGGGTAGAATTGAAGTCAGGCAGGTCTGGGTGTGAGTCCTGATGTGGCTGTGTCCTCGGGGGTAAGCCTGTGTCTGTCTTAGGGCTCCAGAGAAGGCTGTTGCCTTCTGGGGGTTGCGTTGAGGCTTCAGCAAGAAGGCTTTGGGCTTGCAGATGCTGCCTCATGCTCCCAGGTGGTAATGTGATCTTTGTCCCACCCACCCCTAGTGAAGGGGAGTGGGATTTCTACTGGTGTGATGTCAGCTGGCTCCGGGAGAACTTTGACCACACCTATATGGACGAGCACGTGCGGATCAGCCACTTCCGGAACCACTACGAGGTGAGCAGGGAGGCCTGGCACTGAGTCCGGCAACTCGTGCCACTGGGGGTGACAGTAGGCAAGAGCTGGTTTGGACCAGAAGAGAAAAGTAGAAAGGAACTTGGGCCTACACGCCAGGCGGGGGCTACGTGCACTGGGCATACGATGAGCCGATGGGTGGCTCGGGACAAGGCTCTCAGACCCATAAGAACAGACTTCTTGGATGGGATTAAGATCGCCAGCTGCTTGGTGTTTTCAGCACCAAGCCGTGGTGGGGGAGAGGTTGAAGGCATGGATGCTTGAAGAATTATGGTGATTTCAGGGTGAGACAAGTTGAATAGTTTGGAATTTAGAGGTAGAAGGAAGGTCCAGGAGGAATCAGACCAAAAAATGGAACCGGAGGAGCTAGTGGCGGGAGATTTTAAAGGATAGTGAACCTTAGTAGTCAGAAACGTAAACTTCAGAGTCAAAACCTAGTGGTATAGCCATTAGATGAATAGAATAGCTCTGGGAAACTACCAGTCTTCCTGGGACTCAGTTCCCTGGTCTGTAAAGCTGGGGTGGTTGTAGAATGGCAGGCTGTCAAAATTAGTGATACTGCTATTTTGTGGGTCAGAAAATGGGTTTTGTGGAGACAGTTGGCGGGATGGTTAGCACTGGGAGAGGGAGGAGACAGTGGGCACAAGCACTAATGGACAGCCTCACCATCCTGCCCAGCTGACCCGCAAGAACTACATGGTGAAGAACCTGAAACGTTTCCGGAAACAGCTAGAGCGTGAGGCGGGAAAGGTGGAGGCAGCCAAGTGTGACTTCTTCCCCAAAACCTTTGAGATGCCTTGCGAGTACCATCTGTTTGTAGAGGAGTTTCGCAAAAACCCAGGAATCACCTGGATCATGAAGCCTGTGAGTATCTGGAAAAGGGTGGGCAGTGGCGAGGGACCCAGGCTGGTGCAGCATCCTTCCCGGCATATCTCAGTACAGGACTCTGCCTGGGAATGCAGCCTTGGATGTACCACCTGCCTCTCCTGAGGAACTGACCCCATCCCCCTCTGCAGTGAGTGGCTCTGGCACCTGGCCTGCTGTATACAGTATGTGCTCAACAAGTGTTTACTAGACGAACAAGTGATGCTCAGAATATCAGGGCAGGGAATCCACAACTTCCTTGGGGCTCAGATCCCTGCTTCTCTTCCTGATATAAAAGCAGACAATGGCAGGGCGTGGGAAGTGCTTTGCTTACAATGCCCCAATTCTCATAACGGTCCTTGGGAGGAGAGATTACCAGCCTTGTTTTAAAGATGAGGAACCTGAGGCCTATTTATTTAAACCTTCCACAAGTACTTACTGAGAACATGCCTGTGCCAGACACAGAACTAGCCACTGGGGATACAGTTTTAGCAAGTCAAACACGAGTCTCTACCCATATTGAGGACAGACAACAAACTGAGGATACATGTGTGATCACAGTTGTGCTAGGAGTTAGTAAGGAAAATGGTGCCAGGAGAGGAAACATCAGGGTACCCCTCAGACTGGCAGGCTTGTCTGAAAAATGAGAGTTTGGGTTCTGAGGCCAAACCCCTTGGCTCAAATCCTAGCTGTACGATTTACTTGTGACTTCAGGCAGATTACTTAATGTCTCTGTGTTGTTGTTTTTTTACCCACCTGTAAAGTGAGACTAACTTTAGGAACTTTAGCATAATACTGTCATGTGACTCGATAATATAGAAAAAGCACATATCAAGTGTTCAGTAAGAGATAGTAGCTGTGGTGAGACTCAGTATTGAGCTGTGGTCTGAGAGATGCATAGGAGTCAGCCTGGGGAAGGACAGAGGAGAGGGGAAAGCGGTCCAGGAAGAGGGAACTGCATGCACCAAGACCTTGCATGGGGGTTGGGGGAGGAAGAAGGGGTGGGCTTTCTAGGGCCCCTGAGCCCTCCTAGTGCCAGCCCTGGTCTCTCACTACAAAGCCATGGGCCACCATAGCCCTGAACGGCATATCAAGTCCCCTTCTGTTTTCCCAACTTGGGAATGTGCTGGACCCCAGGAAGGGAGCCTGGGGTCGGGCAGGAGAGAGCAGCTTTTCCTGGGGAACCTGAAGACTGGGCTGGTGTAGACCCACCCGTGCAGATTTAGCCAGCAGCACAGGTGCTTGGAGGGGGAGCCAGTGCAGGGTGAGGGATTGCGAGGCTGTAAAACAATGATGCTCCCAACAGAGACTGAGCTGGGGTTTCCCCAGGGTCTCTGGTCCTCTCTGCTGGAAGGCTCGCTGGGCAGGCACCGGAAGGCTCTGAGCTGGAGCAGAAAGGGTTAGACTGAGAACACTGTGCCCCACTGGGTGGGCGGAGTCCAGCCTGCTGCTTTATCCTCTAGACAAATGGTAATTTGTGCTAATTGGGAACCGCAATCGCATATTAAGTTGATTCCTTTGCCAGCCCACAGCCTTTGTTAGCAGCAGACACAAGACAGCTGTAATTAAGAGGTGGAATCTTGACTCTGTGTGTGTGTGTGTGTGTGTGTGTGTGTGTCTGAAAACAGGGAGGGTTTCCATGTTACAGTCTTGAGGCAGTTACTTCTCTTTCTAGAAACGGTAGCTTTCAGTCTTGGCCCCACCCTTCAACTGACTGGGTGGGGCCAGGCCACAATGCTATCCTTCTCTTGAGGTCTGCAGGGATGAGAGGGTAAATCTCATCCACAAGGTACCTTCACTGCAACATATGTGTGTGACCAAACAACTGGGCACCACTGCCCAGCCAAGTGGGCCATAAAATTACCCATCAGGTTATGAGGGTGCCATGGGTCGGGGTACTACCCTGGGATCCTTTGGGCCACAGTATTAGTCCTGAGATTTTGTTGTATGGACTCCTTTTGTTAAGGGAAAGGATGTCCTAAAGGAACTCTGGAGTCCACCCCCTACTCCAGTGATTGAAAACTACAACTCCCAGCAGCACCAGGGAGAGAACTGCAAGGACCCAAGGGCGGAGCTAAACAGGCATTCTGGGACATTGGGGGATAAATAGGCCATCTCTCGCTCTCTAGGGAAACTGCTGTCCAGACCGAGTGACTTGGGGCTTTCAGTTACCAGAGCTCCAAGTCTGCCAAGCAGGTAAGATATTCCAGTTGTTTCCTTTTCTTTTCCCTATTTTGTGCCTGCAGTACAACTGAATTTTAAGCCTGGGTGAGGCCCCACCGATAGGTGACCCAGTTCACACTGGGGTGCCCTGTAACAGTTTGAAGTGGGGAAATGTTACAAAATAGAATGTTACCCTACATCTGGAAACTAGAGGAGGAAAAGCCCCTCAGCACTCCACTCTTTTTGCAAGGCCTGTCTTTGTGACCCAGTTGACCCTGGCTCAGCCTCAAAAGACACTTTCCAAACACAGCTGCTGTGGTCCGGCCAGCTGGGTAGCTACAGGCCTGTCATTCTCCTCTGACGGCCTCTGCCCCAATCCTGGGAAAGGCAGGCCCGCTTGGACTCAAAGGGAGCAGGCAGCTTCAAGGACCCCTCCATGCCTCAGTGGGGGACCCCTTCTCCCACCTGGCCTGAGTCCCAGCCCATCTGAGAGCTCCTCCATCCCTCTCAGGGAGCTCAAGGGCAGACCCCTGGATTTAGCATTTAAAAGTCCAGTCTAAAGTAAATATTGTGTCAAGTTTTTCCCATCTAAGCATTCTCTGCCTGCACCTCAGACCCTCCAAGTTGGTGGGGAGGTGGGTAGGACTGAGATCACGGAGACCAGGCTTGCTCCCCAGTCTCCCTCATTGGGCTGGGGGGCGGGGGCTGACTGCTGGGCCCCACATGCTATGTTCTGCTCCCAGGGTGTCTGCAGATCCAGTCTGCACATCTCAGCTGTGAGCATCCTGGGCCACCGCTAGGCTGTCCTCAGCTTTGGGGCTTTGGGAGTGCTGTGGAAACTAGGACTGGAAGAACCAGTCTGGGAATACAAGTTTACCCCAACCAGAGCTTTGCACACTTTTTCATTGAAAAAGTTGAAACTAAAGAAAAGAAAAAACTAAGAGTCCAGGTGCTTTGCTCTGCAGAGAACATGAAAACCCAGTTGACATGCCTCATTGAGAAGACAGAGTTCTGTTTGCATGACCAGGGGCTCTGGCATCTGGTGAAATGTGTGCGGCCTGTTGAAGAACAGTGCTTTTAAAAGCCTAAAATAAAGTATATTTGATTATAAAAGACAGCAACTGTATTGGAAAGCAGCTATCACACCATTAGTCTGGGTCCTCTGAGAAACAGAGGCCGAGATCCAACATGTCAGAGTTTTGCCCAGGAGGAAAAATGGGGAGGGAGCCCAGGGGAGGGAGCCCAGTGAGCTGCCAGCCAGCCCCAGTCAGGGAGAGGGCAGGGAAGGGCGCAGAGGCCTACAGGGCCCCCTGCAACCCAAGGGCAGCTCTCGGAGGCCAAGAGGGGCTTGGAGGCCGGAAGTCACTGTCCAACTCCCAGGAACAGGCTCGCCCCTCCCACCCTCAGCCTTGGGCTCCGGCTGCTTGCTGGGCACAGGATGGGCACGGGATGGGCACTGCTCTCCTCGCTGCCCATTGGTTAGTGGCCCATCCACTCAGTGTCACGGCCAACACAAAACCTATTAGAAAGTTCTCCCTGTTACAGTAATTGTAGCACCAGCAAGGCACAGAGCAGGTTTACTCTGAGCCAGGCAGAGGGGTAAAGGAAGAGCCCTGTGCCCGTGGTGACTTGTTCAGGCTTTTTCTGAGCTTTTTGTATCATCTGTAGTGAGGCAGCCAGGTACAGGGGAGGCAGGGGCTAAGGGTGGAGGGGTTGTGGGCCAAGAGGTGACTTACCTCCTGGCCCCTGGCAATCTTCACTCTTTCTGGCTCTCTGGCGTTGTCTCATGGGCTCTGCCCTCTGTCCTCTGTGCTCTCTGGTATTTCTGCTTCTGTGCTCTTGTGCTGCTCCTGGCATCCTGGTGAGCTGCCCTCAATGCCCAGTCCATCAGCCCAGGTGCGCCCACTTACTCATGCCCACACCCACTGCAGGTGCCGCCATCAGGCACACGTGTAAGAACACAGGTGTGGGGTGTGGGCGCCAGTGGTGGGAGGGCAGAAAACCCTGACAGCTTCCACTCACCTACAGTAGTATGTGTGTTGTTGTGGCGGTCTGATATTGGGGTGAGGCAGGAAGCATGGGGGTGAAAGGATTCACAAGAGCCAGAGTAGAGAACAGAAAAGGTAAATTTATTGAACTACCCTGCAAGGGTAGTTCAGAAATGTCTACTCAGGAAGGCCTTGGGGGCCCCCTTCTATAACCTATTTTCCAAGGCTTTTTCATGACTGGAGGAGTCGCCTCTGGCCTGCTGTCTTCCTCATAGGAGGTGTCCTGCTGGTTCTGTGGCCTCTTTCCACATTCCTGGGAACTCCCGATAGCCCCTATTAATCATGTGGCCCTGTGGCCAGGTTTCCATGGCAATGCTAGGGTTTCTCTTTCTTATCCATTTTGTGTCCCCCAGCATTGTTCAGCTGAGCAAAGTGCACTAAGTTTTCGCTGTATTGATCAACATCCAACACTTTGCGTGAACAAGCTCAGTAGTTACTGTCACTGAAAGTCACAGTGAGCATAAACAATGTTTGCAGATGTTACAGCTGCAACGTGACAGGCCTGAACAATTCCATGGCTTGTCTCCTATTTCACAACAGAAGCACATGTGAAAATCTGGTCAGGGACTAAAGAAATAAAGATGAAAATCTTTTTTTCCATTAAGTTTACACACGCCAGGGCTCTTCCTCTAATGACGAAAAGTGGACTCCAGGGAGAGCTTATTGGGTGGCTCAAGTCATCATCCAGCCCCAGCCCTGCGGACGGCAGCTGCTATTGGTCACAGCACAGCACAGCACCTGCCGCGCCAGATTATCCTCCTCACACCTCTACCTGCCACAGTAACAGGCATCCTGGCCCTGTGTCCCTTTGGATTTAACTCGCCCCATAGTGTGGATTTAGACCTCCCCAGAGGGCAGGGCCACCAGGAGGAGGTGATCCAAATGGGGTTCTGTTGAAGGAAAACGGGGAGCTCACTAATCCCTGCAACTACGATGATAAGTGGCTGGTAGGGGCAGGACAGCTGGTGTGGGGTGACCAGAGGGGTGACGGGTCATGGGAGGCACAGAAACAAAGTGTGGTTCATTCTGTAATCAAGTCTCATATTTTGCCCTAACTGATAACACATCTTTTGTAAGAACAATATGTAAATATTTTCTGATGATTAAGTAGTAGTAGCAAATCATTTATCATGGTTTTAAAAAAATATTTATGCATACAGAACTGGGGTACAGGTCGGAGGTGCAGGGGGTGAGAGGATTCACCAGAGACAGAGTGGGGAGCAGAACTGGCTGATGTACTGAAACACTGCTGACGGAGCAGTGGGCAGGTCAGGAGAGGTCTGCTGCACCATGTGGGTCAGCTCCTTGGCCGGGGATTGAACTTGGGCTGCAGTCGTTGTGGATAGCTTCACAGTGCTGCACTTTAACCTGTTGTGCCACCAGGGGAGCCCCATTTATGATGATTTTGGGGTGTCCCTGGCACTTTTCAGGAGGCTCCTGATCCCCAGGCTTGTAAACACAGGTCTAACTACCCTCAATTTGTCACCTGCTGGCGGGGTAACTATGCGCAGGGTGCTTGGCCCACGCCTCCTTGAGCTTTCCTTGGTTACAAAGAAGGCGAATATAAATGTCTACATCCTATATTTGCGCCTATGCCCTTGAGCCATGCACAGTGTTGTAAACCAGCTTCACCTCAATAAAACATAATGTAATTTCAAGAAAAAAGAACAAACAGATATCCACATGAAAGATTTTAAGTTGTGAATCATCAATTTAAAAAAAAGAGAGGGAAGAGAGATCAACTAAAATTAAAAATTGTGTAATCGCTCAAGTAAAGAAGACATACAACTGGCATTTTGGGGAGAGAGCTAATGACTCATAATTATTGGCAAATATTAAATTCACATCCCCTCACCCCACCCCAACAAAACTTTAACAAGACAATGTGTATAAATCCGTGCACCTGGCATGCAGGGAACACCTGAACAGTCGGTGACCTTCCTCATGAACCATTCCTCCCAAGGTAGGGTCTGGCTCTATGGTAGAGTGACAGCCCCTCCCCCTCCCCACGTAGTCATCTCTTACGTAGCTCATGAGCCTCCAGCTTGGCAACGCTTGACTGGGACTAGGGCATCTCCACCGGGGGCTGGAGGATTCACTTCCAAGCTGGCAAGTTGGCGCCAGCTGTTGGCTGGGAGCTCAGCCAGGATTCAAGGCTGGAAGATTCAGTTGCCCTCTGTGTGGGTCTCGCCACGTGACCTAGCCTCTCCATGTGACCTGGGCTTCCGTACAACATGGTGGCTGGGATCCAAGAGTGACCATCCCAAAAGAGAAAGCTATGTGGAGGCCTCACGACCTCCTGTGACCTTGACCAGAATGTTTGTGTCACTTCTGGTATATACACAGTCAAGGTTGTCCTAAAGACTCCCCCAGATTCAAGGGGAGAGGACAGTGACTTTACCTCCGGACAGAGGGTGGAGGGAACAAGATTCTAGGAAACATATGGGCCTGGAAATATTGTGCTTGCTCTGGAACCAGAAAGCAGGAGGTTTCTGGTCTACCGGGTAGTCTCTGTGCAGGAAGTTTCATTCCACTCTCAGGACCACCCCCTCAGAGGCCGTCTCCCGGGACAGGCATGGCAGTTACTAACCGTACTTTAAACAACAGAGACATTGAATTATCTCATCTAACAAGAAAGCCAGGGGTAGGTTGGTCCAGTTTGGGGTGTGCCTGACGATGCCATTGAAAGGCCACGCTCCCAGCCTCGTCCACTCTGCCTCTGTGGTGTGTTGCTCTGTCAGGAGACTTCTCCCTCATCGGCGTGAGCAGCCTGCTGTGGCTGCAGGCATCACTCACGCCGTAGCATTGAAAGAACACATTTCTTCCCGCTCTTCCCCCCCCCCCCCCCCGCCGGGAGTACCTATGTTCACCTTTAGTTGGTGCGCTCCCTCCTCACCCCACCCCCCAAATTTTTAACAAGAAGAAAAAATTTTAGCTTAACACAGGTTAGGCTGAGAAGCTCCGTGAGAGCTGGGTGGCTGTGAGGTGGCGGGAAACGCCCAGTACATGCCAGGTGGTGGCTTAATAGATTTGTTTTGTGATAAAATGGTATGTGCCAGGGCCAGGGTGCGGGTGGGGGGAGGCGGAGGCTGTGGGGTCAGTGAGCTCCCCAGCACTGTGAATGTACACAGCCAGGCAGAGATGTCACAGGAGGGAGGAATGGCCATCCTGATGACTGTTCTGCATGACATCAAAGCCCCCGATCTCTGTGAAGCTATGAATTATCCATGCTGGGATTCAGGAAAGGCAGACTGACTTCAGTATTAGCCAAAGCAAGGCCTAATTAGGAAGGCAAATTGATTTCCAAAGAAAGAATGGGATGATATGTTCCCAGGACTGTTAGAAATGGATTTTTAATTGTCTCTCCTTTGTATTATTCATGCGATTGTAAGCCTTTGTGAGCTTCGCTTTCTTCCTCCCACCAGGCTCAGCACCTTCTCTGCTGAAGGCCTGGCCTAGGCCTTTTTGGGGCTAGCTGAGGACCCTTGGGTGGCACGAAGACAGGGATGCTGGTGAGGGGACCCCCCCCATCCAGAGTTTTCTGTACTTACCCCCACCCCAGGTAGCCCGGTCACAAGGGAAGGGCATCTTCCTCTTCCGGAAGCTGAAGGACATCATGGACTGGAGGAAGGTGAGCCTGCCTTTCCCTCTTGCTCCTTACCTCCTCCTTTGCCCCTGCTTCCCACCCTCAAATCTCCGTGGCAAAAGAAGCTATGCCAGGTGTCTGGGAAGAGTTCAACGTCTGACATTGCTACCTAACAGCTATGTGACTCAGAGGAAGTTACTTCACCTCTCTGTGCCCAAATACACGGGAGCTGGTAATTACACGTGGTGAGGATGCAGTGCATTAGCGTGCCTAAAGCCTGAGAACGCTGCATTCTTTACCTGGACCTTCTGCTCACCTGGTGGGGAAAATTTGGCTACCTCATCCTCTAGGTCCCAGATGCTGTATGAGGCAGCTTCCTCCCCAGCCCATCCTGTCCCAGGAAGTAGTGCAGTACAAATCCTAGTTCCAGTCCTGCCTCTGCCTCTCAGAGGCGGTGTGGCCTTGGGATAGGTGCTGAACCTCTCTGAGCCTTAGAAGTGATCATGGCGCAGGGTGGGTGAGGGGAGCAGGACCCTAACACCTATGCGACCAGCACCTCCCAAGCCAGCAGGTACAGAGCAGGTGCTCAGTAAATGAATTTCCACCCTCCATGCGTGTCCCGATTCTTCCATGAAACTGGCAGGGCAATGCTGGGCAGAAGCCAGCAGCTCAGAGCGCAGCCAGCCCGGAGCGTAGTCAGTCCCTCTGACAGCCCCACGAGGAGAGGTAGGGGCTGGCCAGGGTCCCAGACAGGGAAGGTCTGGTTGCATCTGTCCTGAAGCAGCTTGGGGTGTAGGGGCGAGGGTAGGTAAAGAAGATTCTGCCCTTAGAGCCAGAAGCTCGAGTTCCAGTGTTCCTTCCAGCTGGGTTGTTTGTGACATTGAGTATGTGACCCTTAACTTACGGCCTCTGCTTCCTCACAAGGTGACTGTGAAGGGACAGAGCTCAGCAGACTGCACAGGTCTGGAGGTTTAACGCCCAAGCTCTGGGTCCACTTTCCAGCTGTACCACTGACTGGTTGTGTGACCGTGGGCAGGTCATTCTCCCTCTCTGTGCTTCATCTGTAAAGTGGGGATAACATTAGCATTTCCCTGGTAGGTTGATTTAAGGATCAGATGATAGACACCAAATAGAGTGCTTAACACAGTGTAAGAAGGAAATGCTCAATAAATGTCAATTATTATTACAAGTAGGACACAAGAAGTTCTGATGACCAGAAAGACGACATTCCCGTGGAGAACTATGTAGCTCAGCGTTATATCGAGAATCCCTACCTGATAGGAGGTGAGATGGCTGTCTTTGCTCCCAGGTGACTCCAAGTTGTCACCGAGGTCTCTGCTCACCTGTCATCTCCTTCAAGGGGCCAGCTCCCTCCCTGTCCTGTCACCCAGCTTGATTTGCTTCAAAATACCCACCATTGTGTGGACTTCCCCCCCCCCCCAGTTTATTGCTCCTCTGGGGTGTGAGCCCTCTGAAGGCAGGGTGGGCATCCAGAACCCAGACTATGATTTAATAGTCACTTTAATAGTCAATCAACTATTGACTTGGCAACCTGCCATGGGTTCAGCCTGACGTCAGGCACTAAAACTCAAAGCTGGAGGTCCATGCTTCCCTCTCTCACGCCAGCTGTTCTCCAAAACAGTCCTTTGCCTGTGGGCATGCTCTGCCCACTCCCTTCTTGGTTCATTAAAATTCTCCTCATTCATGCATTTACCCAACAAATATTTATAAAACCTACTTGGTACCAGCCTCTCCCTACCTGATAGGCGGTGACACTGCATCTGCCCGTCCATGGCTGTACCCCCAAACCTGGGTGCTTGGCACTCAGTCGTTACCTTTTCCATGACTTCTTTCCTTGTCTGCCAGGCCGCAAGTTTGACCTGCGTGTCTACGTGCTGGTGATGTCGGTGAGTCCCTTAGACAGAGCCTCTCCCCCAGAGGAAGGGAGGGGCAACTCTCCTGGGGAGCAGGGGCCATTCTGGGGCCACTAGTGTGAGCTCGTCTGGTTTTGCCTGCCTGGGAGAGGCTGGGGGTTGGGGTACGGCAACTGAGCATGGGGTGGGAGTGGTGAATGGGTCCAAGCTTTGCCATCTTAGTTGCTCAGCACCCGGCCTCCTCTCCCTGCCCTCCGCTACTCATTCAGTCTTCCCTGCTAGCATTTACTGGCCTGCCAAACATTCATCCAACAAACCTTGAAACCTCACGATGCTCCACTCTCTGCTGGGCACACAGAGGTAGGGTACCCAGCACACTCTGAGCTGAGCTGGGGTGCCCCATGTGGCCCAGGAGCACAGAAAGGGCCCGTTAATCTTGTTCCCTTCTGCATCCCCCCATTGCTACCCCAAAACCCACTAAGGAAGGAAGTGTTGGAATCCAAGGATGCTGGTATTTGAGCAGGCTCTTGAGGGGTATTTGGGAAAGAAGGAAGGGTACTCCAGGTGAGGAAACAGGGGCTCAGCTAGAAGGTGAGCGCGTGCTTGTCTTTATTCCTGTTTCTTTCTCTCCGTCCCTACCGCCCCCACAGTACATCCCTCTGCGGGCCTGGCTGTACCGGGATGGCTTTGCCAGATTCTCCAATACCCGCTTCACACTCAGCAGCATCGATGATCAGTGTATCCTGGGGTCTCCGGCTCCCAACCCCCACTTCCCCTGCCTCTGGGAATCCTCTGGCCATCCTGAGAGCACTCATTCCTTCTGCAGTGATTGCTGAGTGCATGCTCTGCTCTAGACAGTGGAGACAAGACACAGGGAAGACCTTTCACTGTGACCTGAGAGTCTTGTGGAGGTAGGGGACCCTGCCAGCTGATCTGAGAGGGGTAGCTCCTCTCTGCTCAGAGCAACTCACTCCAGACTGCTTTCCTTGGCAATGATATTGGTGCCTAATGTTTGCATTGACTCATATCCCTAGAAGCAGACAGTTTGAGCCCTTATGGAGAACATTTGCATTCTTTCATTCAATGCCTCTAATAGGCTCACTCAGTCACTCAAATACAATGCAGTTTTTGCCCATCAAATTGGTGGGGCCAACAATTTGATAGCACATTGTTGGTAGGAATAAAGATTGCTACACCTCTTGGAGGCAATCTGGCAAATGTCTATCAAAAGACATGCTGTACCTTCTCACCTAGCAATTCCCTCCTGGGAATTTATCCTACAGGTACACCACAATATAGGAAAGGAGAGGCTTAAAGATTATTAACTCCACAGTCTTGTTTGTGAGTGTGAAAAAATAGGAAACAAGCAAATGAGTGGCTTCTTTATACAATGGCATACTATGCAGCTGTTAAAAAGCTGGGAAAATGCTTTGTGTACTGATATGAAATAATCCACAAGATGTATTGTTCATTGGGAAAAAACCAAAGTATAGAACTCTGTGGAAAGTATGCTTCCATTCCTATCTCTATGTTTTTAGCTGTGCATAGACATCTCTGAGAGGATATACAAGAAACTAGAAACAGAAGCTGTCTCTAGGAGGAAAAATGAGTGGCTAAACAGGAGTAGGAAGGAGCTATTTCCTTATATACTTTTTTTATCTTTTTACTTTTGAACCCTGCATATGCAGTATCTGGGTAAAATATAAACATTGAGTAATTTTTTATAAGATTTTTAGAATTGAGCTTCATAAGGAAAAGGCAGATGATCCAGAAATATTTAGGAGACAAGTTAGCAGGACTAGATTTACCCACACACGGGGCAGATGGGAGTGGAGCGGGGCCTTGCAGCCTTCTAGGTCAGGCTGAGCATTCCTCTGCCTCCATTCCCTCCTTCAGTTAAATGTCCATCTGAGCAATGCACTCGCATTGCCTAGAATGGGGGAGGCACTCCTGAGTATTTTTTCTCAACTTGTTTTATTCTGTTCTGCCCACTTCAGCATTTCCAATGTTTGTTTTATTTTTAAGTCTCACAGGCATTTACCCTACCATATGCAAGTCGTCAAATTTATTTCTGTTTTTTTTTTGCCACCTCATTTTTTATTAAAATGAAATGATGCATGTAAAGTACTCAGAACCGCGTCTAGCCCAGAGTGACTCTCAGTACACATTAGGGGTCCCTGCTACCCCCACTTCAGATTGTTTGTATATCTCCAGACACCTTGGGGCTTCATTAAACAAGCAGAGTTCTCTCTCAGGGCTAGCTCCCATTTAATGAGGCTTTGCTATTTTCACAATGAATGAACGCATTATTTTTTACTCCTTCTTTTTAAATTGTTTTTAATTTTGCAGTATTAAAAGATTTAAAATACAGAGAAAACTGCAGAAAAGACTAACAGAAATTCATGCATCTATGACCCAGATTTAGCAGATATGAACATTTTGCTCTAATTGCTTCCGTTGTTCCATACTGACTTTTGAAATAAGGAAGCCACTTTGGATCACAAAATAAGAAGACATATTTTTAACCTGACAGGAATAGATAATTAAATATGTGTGTAGATATACATATATGTAACTTACAATCATTGAGATAGATGACAGATGCATAGGTAGCCGGACACGCAAAACACAAAGACCTTCGGCTCAGCACTGCAACAGGAAGTGGAAGCAACTTAAACCACCGCGGGTGGTGATCCGGTGCTAGCCCATTATCCTGACATACAGCTGTTGTGCCTGCAGCCGCACAGTGCAGCAAAGTCAATTGAAATGTCATGGAAAGCATCAATTGGGATATTTATGATTCCATCTTGGCTTGCAAGGAGGTATTTTCTATTTAGAAGAAAATATGGAAGGACTTCACTAATCCATTAACTCTAAAAACTGGAGAATTTGAATCAGATTAAAAAGCATCTGTTTTCATCTTTACCCATTTCTCTATGTTACCAATTATCTTTTACAACCAATATGCATGACTAGGAGCCTGCAAACTACAGGGTCTGTCAACCACTGCCAGCCTGTCACCTATTTCATGGCGTTTGGCCATACCCATTCACTGACACATTTGTTGCCAGTGGTTGTTTTCATATTACAGGTTAGGGTTGTATGGTCTGCAAAGTCTGACTTTTTTTTTTAAAAGAGTTATTTATTTATGCATAGGAGTACAGGCAGAGGTGTGGGGTGTGAGAGGATTCACCAGAGACAGAGAGTAGAATGGTCAGATTGACCGAAATACACTACTGAGGGGAGCAGTGGGCGGGTCAGGAGAGGTCTGCCGCACCATGTGGGTCAGCTCCCAGGCCGGGGATTGAACTCATGCTGCAGTGGCTGTGGAGAGCTTCATAGTGCTGCACTTTAATCCCTCATGCCACCATGGAGGGCCCCGTGAAGTCTAACTTGAAAAGTTTTGCTGATTGCTGATATAGAACATCAAGAATATAAAAAGAAATTTACAAATAGATATACGAGGTAGTGACTGATTGAATTTCCCAGACAAGGAAATATTTGTATAACTTTGCACAGTTGAAATGTAACTGAAAAACAATCAAAGGCATGGATAATTCAGAAATACTCTAGACCCGAGCTTTTAGCTCAGCCATATGAAGAGAAACTCAGACATGGATGGTGGGCAATCACTTATAAAGACCTTTCTGAAACAATTTCTGCATGAAGCATTTGGAGGCATTCATGATACTGATATGTCAAGTGTTTTGTGGGTTTTGACTTTTTCCAAGCAAAAAGATATGAAAAACATAACTGCTGGAGGAGCGTGATTTTGCCTGAGAATTTGCACCTCTTGCTTTGGACCTAGGCCCACCTGATTCCAAAGCCCACACGTGTGACCTCTGGGCTGTTTGCAGCCTCCCTCTCAGTTCTCCAGCAAAGGTGCCAGTTTGGACTAGTTAGGTTAGTTGGGACTAATGGGGCAGGAATCACCCTTTTTGTCCACACTGGTCCTTAACCACCAACCTCTGCTAGATGTTCACCTCACCAATGTTGCTGTGCAAAAGACATCTCCTGACTACCATCCAAAGAAGGTAAGGATGTGCCTTCCATGGACACAGCCTTCTGGGACCATGTTGGTAAGGACTGAGGGGAAGCACCAAGGAGCCTAGGATGGGCCTGTCTTGGGGTCATAGTTCACCAGCAAGGTCAGGTCCACCTTCCCATTTGCAGGGCCCAAGGCATCAACAAAAATGCAGGCCTGGGCTTCATGAACCTAAATACGGAGAAGCTATACACCAAACTTACAGACATGTTAGTAAAAGTGTTCTACCCTCTTACCATTGCAGATATCTATTATCCATCTATCTGTCCATCTGTTCATCCATCCATGCACCCACTATCAGCAACCCGCAAGGCCAGGTTCAAATGTAGACTTTCCAGGTGTCGGAGTTAAGAGCCAAAATAGAGGGGCATCAGCTCACACCTGCTCCCTTCTTCTCCCTGCCCCAGCTATACCCAACTAATTGGGGATCTTCTGAATACAATCGCCCACAAAAAAAAAAAAACAACAAACCAACACATGTTAGTTACTCCTGGAGCATTGAGATGCACACAAGGTCAGTGCAGGCTAGCCACAGGAAGCAGAGAGGCCCAGAGAGAGGCCTGCACAGGCCACTGGGCAGGGAATTCTGGGGTCCTGGGTTATGCTGAGAAAGGCCCAGGCTTTCTCCCGCGCAGGCAGCATCTCAGCCCCACATGGCAGTGCATACTCACATCCTCCTAACTAGAGGACTCAGGGCTGGGCCTCTCTTGGCCAGGCCTTACAGCTGTGCTGATGGTGATTGTGGGAGGGCCTCAGGGGGCCAGGTCCCAGGTAATTGAGGTTCCTTTCCCAACCTGGTGCATGGGGTCCCCAGGGCTGCAAGTGGATGCTCCAGCGCTTCAGGCAGTACCTGGCGTCCAAGCATGGACCCAAGGCCGTGGAGACGCTTTTCAGCGACATGGACAACATCTTTGTCAGGAGCCTGCAGAGTGTGCAGAAGGTGATCATCAGTGACAAGCACTGCTTTGAGCTGTATGGCTACGACATCCTCATCGACCAAGACCTCAAGCCGTAAGTGGGTGGGTGAGGATGTTTGATCTTTGCTCGGCCGCTTCCCACTTGCCTCACTTTCCTTTTCTGTGCCTCCACTTGACGATCACTGTGCCTATAGCAGTGTTAATAAGGGAGTAACAAGTTATTGCCCAGGAAGCACTGAGCCCTGTGGCTGGCCGGAGAGGCCTTTCCTGAACATCTGCCAAGGGGAGGTTCCTCTCCTAGGATCAAACAAAAAGAGTCCTATCTGTAAGTCGTGGCGCTTTGGGCAAAAATGTTTTATAGGGGAATTTGTTGCCATGCCAACCTCTGCCCAGAACTGGTGCAGTCCTGCGGTACCCATGGAAGAGGTTGAGCAGATAGGGCAGGCTTGCCATGGCAGTGGTGCCCATGTGATACAGCAGCACACAGAATCCCAGTGGGGGTGTCACACAGTAAGTCAAGGGCAGAGACAGGTTCAATTTCCCAGGCTGAGCAGCTCCCCGCAGCACTGCAGCCCCCTGGAGCCCTGGAGCAGGTCCAAGTTAGCCAGGGCTCAAGAAATATGGTGTGCCGGCACCGGCTGGTCTCTCCTTGACCCTTGCAGCAAGACGTGACTGTGAGCATAGTCACTGGTCAGGGAAGCAAGCTGGCAGGAGGCAGCTCCCAAGATAGTGAAGGGAACCAGGTCTCCCCTGACCTGCTGGTGAGCTCGTCCCTCTCTGTGTCCAGACTCCTATTCATTTCAGTTGGCCTTCAGGCTGCTTTTTGGTATGTGTGTTTTTCACTAAACTTCATTAACAATCCATAAATATTGGGAGCTGTTCTAATTTTTTACTTTTCTGGAAAACTCAGATTTCATAATTCTGGATTCATGTTTCCATAGAGCAATAGTCCCCTGGAGCTCGGCAGAGCCACCCTTTTACTTATGGAATGCTCTTTCCAGTTCCCCACAGTCTCCACCCCTCCCTATTGCTCCCCAACTGGGTAGATGTTGACTGGCATCTACAGGCAAACTTTACTAGGAAAGGGAGGTTTTCCTTGTAGTTTCCTTGTTGTGTAGAACACAAGGGCACCCAACTCATTCTTACCTCCACCAGCTCCCCTCATCTAAGTAATTGCCTGGTCTCCCGTTAAAATTTCAAGTTTTCTATGATTGTTTTCAAAGAAGTTTTAGTCACTAAAGGCTTTTTTCAAATGGGGAAGTCGAAAGAAAAATCCCCGTTGAATTCAGGGTGGAGCCAGCACCCCACCCAGCCTCAGTGCCATTCCAGGCCCTCCAGGCACCAAGAAGCCCTAAGACTCTCCCTCCCCTGCCTCCCCAGGTGGCTGCTGGAGGTCAATGCATCCCCATCGCTAACAGCCAGCAGCCAGGAGGACTATGAGCTCAAGACCTGCCTCTTGGAAGACACACTGCACGTCGTGGACATGGAGGCCAGGTGAGGGCGGCCAGGGCCTTGGGCACTGTGCGCAGCCATCTGGACTCCCACCAAGGCTGCAGGGTGCTGGGCACCTGGCGCTGGCGCAGCCCCCAGCACGGCTCTGGCTTGTCCCCTTCCGTATGTGGAGAAACTGCGAGGTCCACACGGGTCAGCTCTAGGCTTTAGGAGGCTGACTCTTCGGGGGCAGAGCAGGCTCTCTACAGCTTTCTAAGGTTTGGTCCAGCAGGGCCCTGGACCAGTCACTTCACCTGTCTGGCTCTCAGTTTTCTTGTCCGTAAGACTGGAAACCTCATACCTACTTCTCAAGTTGTTAGTTTAGCAGATATTTATTGTAAAGCACCTAGCTCATAGTAAGTGCTCAATAAAGACCAACTGTTGTTATAACGATGCATACACTGTTCCTAAGTGGAAAGACCCAGAGTTTGACTTCTGTATAGCTGAGTCCAGGAGCCCAGTCAGTATTGGCCGGTTTGTAATCTCTATTCCTGCCCCCCTCCACCCAGCTCTTTACCCTGCAGTTAACGTTCCCCCAATTATTCCAGCAAAAGTCTGGACCCCTCCAGGTGCACCTTCATTAACTCCTTGTGTCTCCTTCCTGCCCAGGCTCACGGGAAGGGAGAAGAGAGTGGGAGGCTTTGACCTCATGTGGAATGATGGCCCTGTCAGCAGAGAAGAGGGGACTCCTGACTTATCTGCATCAGGGAACTTTGTGACCAATACTCACCTCGGTATGTGGGGCCGGGTGGGAAGTGAGCACTGGGTATGTCTCGGGAGGTACTGGGTAGCCCGGGAGGGAGCTCACACAGTGGTTATTAAGGTGTTGCATTTGATCTGCAATTTACCTACCAGTTGCATGACTTCTGGCAAGAGACCTGACCTCTCTATCCCTTATCTTTACATGGAGGAGAAACAGTTTCTATCTCAGTGCCTAGGACCCAGGCATGTAGTGTGAGAGATTTACCAGTCAGGAGGGAGGCAGCAAAGGCTTAGGTAAAACACAAGTCAAAAAACATATGATGCGTAGACTTCAGGAATAGACTTTAAACTTGGTTTTCAAAAAATTAAAAATATCCCCCATTATAAAAATTATTCACACTACTGTAGAGTATTTGAAAACTAAAGAAGGAAATAAAAAAACATCCAGACATAACCATCTTTAACAATCTGGTGTATTTCCTTCCAGTTTTTTAAAAATTCATATATTCATACTTTTTGTTTTGCAGAATTGGCTCTGGGCTCGGGTTTTGAGTCCCATGTTTCCACAGTGTTCTCCGTGTCATTCCACAATATGAACACGAGCCTGCCTTTTGGAAATTTTTTTGACCAGTTCCACACTACATATTTTGCATACCTTATCTCACTTCATTTTTTGCCAGTTTGTACTATTTTACAGGTGAAAAAATGATCTCCACATCATTACGTAACTTGTGGAAGGTCTTGGTCACAAGGGGTGAGCCAGGCTGGAGTGCTGATCTGCCTGGCCCTGCCCCTTAGCACTGTGGGAAACAGCCACACGGCCTGTACTCACTAACTCAGTTTCTTACAATGGGACATTTGGGACAGTTTGAGTTTTTTGCTTTTGTAAATAATGCCACGGTGAACATCCTCTCAGCCAAAGCTCAGCTGAGACTCAGGCCATTTCTGTGGGGCAGTTTCCTAGAAGTAGAAATACAGGGTCACAGGATGGACTTTGTACAGCTAAACTGCTTTCTAGAAAGAGTATCCAAATTTGCCAGCCACGTCATAGGTATTAAGTACTGACTCAGGTGCATCCATGATTACTGGGGAGGTTTCCATAGTTTAAGCTCTGCGTTTCTTTGTTTGTAAGTTGCCCATACTTTATTTTCCAGTGAGTGGGTGGCTTACGTTTTTCTCAACTTATGAAGGCCTTGGCTGCAAACTGGAATCACCTGAGAACTTTAAAAATATTGATGAAAAAAAAATATTGATGTCTGCCAGAGACAGAGATAGAGTTGGTCCAGACACTGTATTTTTTCCAACTCTCAGATGTTTCTAATGCATGGTTCAGGTTGAGAGCTAGTGATTCAGAAGTTTCTAGGATAATTCCCAAGTCTCCAGTCAGGTGTCTAGGTATTTGGTGATGAATACAAGAGGAGGTGGTTGAAGGTGGGAAGAGCATTACTGAAACAAATTAAGGGTATGTGAGGGATCTCCTGGTGAGAGAGCTGCAGATAACTCAGAGGTAAATCTAGAACTCCAAGGAGAGGTTTGCTTTGGGCACTAAGATGGGGAGGTAGGAAGGAGTCCAGTACAGCTAAAGGTTCATGGGACGCACTTTAGAAAGTCCTGGAGAGCCTACAGTGGGCTCTCAACTCAGTGAAGCCTTGATGTCTGGGCAGACAGGAGTCTGGGCAGCCATGGAGTGCTAAGAAAGGTGACAGGCACAGCGATTCAGTCTCTCCACCAGTATATTCAGCATACCTCAGTATACCTGGTGCGCAGTTTCATAACCAGGGAGTTGCTTCCAGACCAGCCCTGAATGCAAAGAGGAAGGTGGTTTGGGGAGAGGTGACTAGAAACCCACAGCAGCCTCTCAGGACTGCCTGAGAGCCCACGAGAGTAGGGGCCACCTGTGGGGAAGTCATCTTAATATGCCTGGCATGGGGGGGCTGGGAACAGGGGGCTACCACTTTCCCTACTGGGTGCCCGGCACTATGCTAGCCTGATGGGCATTTTCACTGAGCAGAAGCGGGGGAAAGGCAGGGTTGTAAAGAGCTTTCCCTAGGAGCTAGGTGATCTGGGCCGAATCCCCAGGGCTTATTGTGCAGCTACTTCATTGCTTGAAGCCGGTTTTTTTCTTCCACACATCATTCCTGTGAAGTGCCAACCCACCCTGGCACCTGAAGCAGCCCCCACCCCCTCAGGCTTGGGGTAACCCTAGTGAACATTAATGTTTTGGTTGATTCTGACATTCACCCCCTAAAGCAGGTATCCTGATTTACAGAGGAGAAATTGTGTCCTCACAGGGAAAGGGCCTGCTTGAGGCACATAGCCTTCCAGGCATGCAGTCAGGAGGCAAATTATAGGCCACCCAGTGCATAGCTCCCGCCCGACCCCTCCCCTCCAGCCCCCAGGTCCCCTCTGCTAAGCACAGACCATCCCAGCTGACACTGCTCTTTCCCTTCCAGGTTGTGTCAACGATAGGAAAGCCCAGCTGAGGCAGCTGTTCCACTCCCTCCAAAGCCAGAAGAAAGCTTCAGGCTAATTTCCAGGAAGGTGCCAGCCAGTCCTCACCCCACTCCCACACTCAGAGATTCACCTTCCTCTGCCTTCTCTGGCCTTGGGCAGCTGTGCTGCTCATTCTGGGCCCTCTGGGTACCCCACCCCCACCCTGGGTATCTGCACCACAGACACTCACCCAGCCACTGAATCCCCAGGACTGCAAGGGGTTTAACCTGGATTATTGACTGGGTGTCAGGCACAAAGAGGACTTGTGCTGGTTCATGGGACGCACTTTGGACTACATGAGATCACGCCTGAAAAACGAGCAGCCCTTAGTTGGAGTGACTGTGCATGTGGGGCTGGCTCAGGATGCCATAGTACAACTAAATCCTCCTGGCTTTCACCCTTTGAAGTCTCAGGTCAGTGCCGAATGGGTTCTTCAGGAGCAGGCTTCAGGCCCCAAGGAACTTACCATAAGCAGCAATTATTAGATTGTTCATAGGGGACCTGGGTAAGGACACCAGAGACAGAGCGGGGAGCAGAACAGGCAGATAGATGAAGTACACTGCTGAGGGGAGCAGCGGGCGGGTCAGGAGAGGTCTGCCGCGCCATGTGGTCACCTCCGGGGCAGGTGGGAATTGAACTCATGCGGAAGTGGCTTTAGCTTCTCAGTGCTGTGCTTTAACCCGCTGCGCCACCAGGGAGGGCCCTCTTCATTTATTTTTTGTTTACTTATTTATACATACAGAACTGGGGTATAGGCCAGAGGTGCAGGGGTGGTGAGAGGATTCACCGGAGCAGAGTGGGGAGCAGGGCAGGCCGACTGACAAAGTATACTGCTGAGGGGAGCAGTGGGTAGGTCAGGAGGTCTGCTGCGACATGTGGGTCACCTCCAAGTGGGGATCAAACTCATGCTGAAGTGGCTTTAGCTTCTCAACGTTGGGCTTTAACCCGCTGTGCCACCAGGGAGGGCCCAGGTTTTTTCATTTTTATATTGTTCGTTTTGTACAATATATGCAGTCCCTCCCCCACCAGAGCACTCTGATCCATCACCACAGACCTTGTGTTCTTCCCTCCCCTTCTGAGTCCTCCTTTCTCCACTCTGGCTGTGAACCTCAGACTATGGTTTGCCCGCCAGTTTTGTCTTTTTCCTGCCCCTTTGTTCTGTTTCCTTATATTCTACCAGTTAAGTTCACCATGGAAGGGAAAGATTTTTAGATGGAATACAGTGGCAATCCAAGAAGTCCTTGGGATGGTCACGAGAGAGGTGTTACTCTGGGCTTCCAGACTCTGAAACAGAGGAAACTTCCCTCTGTTTCTATGACTGAGGCAAGTCCATAGGCCTGATTTCCAGGATTTGGCCCACCATCCACGCTGCCAGACAGGCAGGCACATGGTCCGGTGGAGGCCACACCAAGTCGCAAGGCTCCTGGCCTTGACCAGACAGCTATGTAGCACCCCACTACCTGGAGCTGTCAGGCCTTCCATTTGTCTGCAGTGGGTGAACTTTTACTTTTCAATCCAACCTCCCTGTCTTAGTTATACTGTGGAGAAAACAAGTCATTTCTACTTAAAAGCAACAACAAAGTTCCAGAGGACACAAACTTACAGAGCTGAACCAAATTTGGTTTATGGAAGGTGTTTTGTTTGACCAGCACTGACAATCCCAAGAAGTGAACCAGCTAGCCTGGCTCAAAACTTCGTGAATTAGTTAGCAATATTTAAAAGGCAAAAGATTCAATTTAAAAATCCAAGTTTCTAGTTCTTTAAGAAAACACAAGGTCTGAGCACAGCGCAGGTCTTCGCAGAGTTGCCAGCTGGAGCTGAGTGGGGGACATGTGACACTTGCTGTCTCAGCTGTGTCATTTCGAAACAAGAACCACTGCCCCTCACAGGTGGTCTCCAGAGAGAGCAGTGCGTACGCAATTGAGACCAAGTGAGGTAAAGACCAGAAGATCACCTGGGTGACATTTATTGAGCCCTCAGTGAACAGCAAAGACGCCCTCACAGTATTCTGTCATTAGGACCCAAGACCACTGAAGGTAGATTGGGGGGGCACCCTAGATGGACATGAATGCCAAGAAGCACCCACCACTGGCACAGGACCCACCGCTCCCTCACCCACCACGGGTACAGGACTCTGCAAGGCCTCCTGACTAAAAGAGCAGGCGCAAGGCTTGATAAGCAGCACCCACGACGGACTCTGTCCTGGGGCACAAGCTGGAAAAAAGGGCGAAAGGGAGGCAATTGAGGGGGTGAGAGGGGGGGAGGGAGTGGATGACTGGGAAACTACCAAGCACAGGGCTCTGTCCTTCCTTCAGAAACCACTAGCGTGCTGTTTTCTTCCAATGGTTACACAGCTGGGAAATGTCTCCCTCTCTGAGAGGAATGCTGGAATGACGCTCCCACTCTCCCTGTGCCCTTCTTCACTGCCCGTGTCCCATCTGGACAGCAGGCCATTGTCAGAAGTGCTGCCATGGTCATTCTCACACCTCCACTGCCACCACCCACTGGTGGATGCTGGGGGCGGTCAATGGGGCTTGTGTCCGCCTGGCCCAGTGGTCAAGCCCAGCGGACACCGGCAGGCTGAGGGTTCCCTCCTGCTGCCTCAGAGCAGCCAAACACTGCAGACAAAGAGGCTTCATACTGGAGCCACGGCTCGGTCCTGAAGCCTGTCTCCTTGCAGGGTCGATTCTGTCCTTTTAGGTTTCAAGGTTGGAGAGTCCAGGGTCCTCCACGACCCAGGGGGGAGGGTTTGCTGGTCTTAGGTCCCCATCTTGGTTCTTGAAAATCAGCCTTTCAAAATGACCTTGAGGGCCTTAAGCTCATCCTGGTTGAGGGGGGTCAGGTTAAAACCTTTCAGCTCTGGTTTGCCTATGGAGAGAAGACAGTTAGTCAGCAAGATGAACCTTCTGCTGTCCAACCTCCCTCACTGTTCTGGCATCAAGCCTGCAGAAGGGGCTTTTAGTGCATTCGTGGTGCCCAACTCTTGCCCTTGAGGTGATGGGGAAGGACCTCTAGCTGCAAGGCACTAGGCAAGGCGCGCTGCCTGCTCCTGAGCGGCCAAGAACCTGCAGTCACATTATGAGGCTGGCGGCTGACAGGCAGCAGTCAAGGCTGATACAGAACCCTCCCGCCCAGAAACCTCCCGATTCCTGCCAGTCCTGCGACCCACTGGGAGGTTTCCCAGAAATCCAGCACTTGACCTGACCTTAACCACCTCTTGAGACCCTCAGACAGGCAGAGCCCTTCAGGTCCCTACGCCATGTACTAGGATATATGCGCTACCCCAGCCATAACTGGTATCTGGAAAAGAACTCAGGACAGGATTAAGACCCTACAAACTTTCTTGTTCTTTCCATCTCAGGGAGGCTACAGACAACACTGCCCACAGCTTCAGTGCCATTCACAGGCCATCCAGGCCACTGCCCACCTGGGAAGACTTCTTACCCCTGCCCCTCCAAGTCTGAGTTGATGGCTCATTCCCCTCCATGTCCAGTCCCCCCACTCCAAGCCAATACCTTGGGCTTCAAAGAGGCGGTTGACCTTCACTTTAAGTTGTTTCCGCAGTTTCTCTATTTCTTTATCCAGATAATCCTGATCTGAAATGAGGGCAACACGGAGAGATTATACGACATGTTTGACCCAAAGGGGGTCAGAGATGCCAGTCTCCTGAGAGTAAGGGAATCACAGCATTTAGAAAGGAAAAGGGACCTTTGAGACTAAATGAAGATTGAGGGCTTGAGAAGGGATCTGACCAACCCAAGACCACTGAACGGGTCTAGTATAGGGTAGGCACACCAATCTCTGGCTCAGTTCATGCAACGTATTTATGCAAAGCACCACGGGAGGGACTGTTGCTGGGGAAGGCAATATAGAATTTTGGGCCACCTCCTCATAGTGAAACCATGTTAAATTAAAATATAACAAAATGAATCTAGATCCAGTCCACCTTAAGATGGTGGGAAAATGGGTGGTTGAGGAATTTTACAAACCCAAGTCCTCCAAGCTGAGGGGTTTCTAGGTAACATAAATGATCAATGGGCAAGCCCAATGCTCAAGCTCATCCTAAGAAACAGGAAGGTTAGGCTGCTCTGGTGGGTCACACCTTAAGGCGAATCACCCTTTCAGGCACGGAGGCTGACAGACACAGCTGTCAAGGCTTGAAGCAAATGACTAATGTCGCCCAACTAACTCTACCTGCTCCTGGTGATATTCTGGCTGGTTCACTGGTCTTCCTGAGGGCTGAAGCCCTGACCAGCTGAGGCTTGTGGCCAGTCTCTCAGAGCTCCCTGCCAGGGATGATGGTGTCCCAGAACCCTGCTAGATACAGAGATGGGACCACATCTGTGAGTCAACAGAACTGAGGACCAGATCCTGAACCCAAGCAAGTGACCCAATCTGAAGGCTCAGCCTGAGCTAAGCCTCTGGTCACCACCCAAGTACAAAAGCTCTTGACTTTCTAACCATTGTATTAGCGCATGTTTTTTAAACAAGACTCTGCAAACTGTTCCTCCACGGTGGATCAGTTTCCTTTGCCTGGGTTTCGATTTCAACAGGTATAGAAACACCCTGTCTTCAAGGCCTGAGACGACGTTGCTGGTTCTCTGGGCCCATCCATTTTCAAGCTTGGGGAGGAAAAAACTAGGCAAAGCCCTTTTTCTGAGGGCCCTCATGCTGCCTGCCTTTTTTGCCTTCACGATGCTTCTCCAAAGAGCCTCTGGCAGGGTTATAAAGATGTGGAGTGTCATGCTGTGGCAGACCCTAGGGGTTCACTCCCCCCAAACTTCCATTTCCAACCTTTCCGGCTGCCCAAGGCATGTGAAAGTAAAAAAGCTCACTCTGCCGAGCTCTGCTATAGCTATGCATGGTCATGTGGCTAAGCTCTGGCCAATAAGAGGTCAGAAGTGCCTGAGGAAAATGGCCTGCTTTCCAAAATAGAAGGGCTAAAGCCCTTTCCTTCTCCCAGGCTGGCATGCGGCTCTGAGGCCTGCAGCGCTGTAAACCACCACGAGGATATGCTAAGATGACACTGCCCAGCAGTGTGCCAGCCCTGAATTGCTCATAACAGAAAACCAGAACTCAACTTTCCTCAGCCTCAAATTGCTGGGTTTTCTGTGTTTTGTTTTGTGTGGTCCAATTCATTCCGCACTAAGAAACCAGCACTCTGCTTGGCCCAAACACTGTTTCATTTCAACGTCACAACAACTGTGCTATACAGTTTCTCCCTTTTAGAAATGGCAAAATACCAGAGGTAGAACAGGGACTAACCCCACTGCAGTATGAAACCTTTAGCAGCCACTCTCCTTACGCTGCCCAAAGTCTGACTCTCAACTGTATGCTAAAAGAGGCAAAGCGGCTGTGTACCTGCCCCACCTCTGCAGGCCTTACCTTTCTCAATCATTTCCTTCGTCTGAGGGTGGGGCATCTTGATAAACATGTTCCCGAAGCAAACCATCACATCCTCTGAAATGGCAAATAGTTATTCCCTTAGCAAATGTCTGAGCATCTCCTGTCTGCCAGGAATTGGTAGATACGGAGAACACAGCAAACTAAGACAGGGTTCCTGCTCTCTGAGAACTTGTTACAGTGGAGAAAAGGGAGTAAAAATAGATATGATCTGTCGAACTGTGACAGGTCCAAGTACTTTAGAGAAAAATCAAGCATGCTAAGGGGGGTAGGGAAGGCCTGACTAGGGGAGGGACTGGTTACTAGTCTGCAAAGGCTGCACTGATATGACATCTGGTCAGAGACCCAGAGAAAGTGAGGGAGTGAGCCACTCAGACATCTGGGGGAAGACATCTGGGGGAACAGTGGAAACAGGAACAAGAATCAATGCGCTTGGGGTGTGAACACAGTAAGACCAGTGGAGTTGGAGGCAATGATGCTGGACAATGCAAGGGGTCAGATTATGTGGGTCCAGATTTTACTCTGGTGACAAGAAGCAACTGGGAAGTTTTAGACTTTCCAGTGTACTCTAAACAAAACTTAAACATCTCCACTCAACCCCCAAGGTCCTTCATTATGGCCAGACCTCTACCCATCTCTCCAACCTCATGCCACGCTCCTCCCCCCTTGCTTACTCTGTCATAACCACTTAATTTTGTCTAAAGAGGCTCCACACCATCGTGGCTTACCTATTTCTTACCTGACCGTGATGATGGCCCCTTACCAGTCCCGAGCCTGCCCCCTTCCTCTGCCCGTATCCAATTCTTTCTTCAGCTTTCTGTTTTTGGTTATGTATTTGCTGCATTTCCTAGTCCTACTGCCATTACTGGTGAGCCAGCAGCTGAGCCGATCACTGAGGCGACCAGTTAAAATCCTGGGTCATTAATGTGTGAAAACATACACTAATCCTGGTGTAAGACCAACATTTTCTCTCTCACACACACAGGCTGTGTCACACCTTTGTCATCCTGCCTGGTCACTCTCCAGGGGCAAGGTGAAGGCCTTAGGTGGAAAACTGAACAGACCTGCAGGGTTGTAATAAAGAAGGCCTGACTTACCAGAAAAGCTGAGATCCTTCTGCAGGGCTCTCAGGCCCTCCCGGTTCTGATTCCTTTTGATGTCCAGGTCCACAATCTGAAAAGCACAAGGTCAGGAGGAAACTCAGCTATTTCTTGCCCGGACCTGTCACCTCTCAACAAAGCAAAGGCTATTAAAACCTAACAAACAACACCACAGCATTCTGGGGTTACTTGTATCACTGCCTAAAATGGTCTGATGCATGGCTTATTTCTCACCCAACTCAGCTTCAGGTCCTGAGAGAGAATGTTTTGCACAAATGTTTACCTCCAGAGAAGGTGCTGGCAAACGTGTGCTTTATTTCCCACTGGAAGGCCACTTCTCAAGTTTTAAAGAATTTCATGATCCAGGAGTGGAGAAGAATACTGATTCTGACCTTTCCCACGAGAAACCTAACAACAGTAACCTGGTACAGCAGGGGTGGATGCACCAAGATGGTGATAACAGCACAGTGTTGTCTGAGGAAATGAGGCAGCACTACAGAAAGCACCTGAAGTGTTGGCTCTGGACTGGGAAAACCCAGGTTTGAATTATGCCTGCGTTGAATTATGCCTGATTCCTTTACCGCCCTACTTGCTCCTCTGAAAAACAGGGATATGAGTCTCACAGATTGCTGAACCTGGAACAAGAGTTCGCATGTACCTGACACCCAGTTATTACTTAGGAAACTATTAACAGTACTGCTCAGCCACCCTGATACAGTGTTTTCTTTAATGGGCTCTCCTACTCAGTAAATCAACCATTCAATTGATCTAACTAGAGATGAGGTGTCAAGAGTCGGTGCTGGCTCCTCCTACTTCCTTACCCCTATATGTCAACATTATCAAAGGCCACTGAGTCCATCGGCAAAATATATTTGACCCACTCGCTTGTCAAGACCCTAGTCCAAACCAGTTTCTCACCTGGACCATGACAATGGCTCCTCATCAGCCCCTTGCTAACCCCTCTGTAATCTGTGCTTCACACAGCAGTTACTGTTATCTTTTTAAAATCTAAATTCAGGACCCACCCCCCTCTCCTGGCGCAACGGGTTAGGACACAGCACTGCGAAGCTAGCTGCTGCTGCTTAAGAGCGAGTTCGACCCCCAGCCGCGGGACTGACCCACATGGTGCAGCAGACCTCTCCAGTCTCACCCACTGCTTCCCTCAGCAGTGTACTTCGTCTATCTGCCTGTTCTGCTCCCCTGTCTGTCTGGTGAAGCCTCTCACGGCCCCTGCACTCAGTACTGTACGCATAAATAAATCTTAAAAAAAAAAAAAAACACCTAAATCCAATCGCGTCATTTCCAGCTCCTTTCCTCCATGAGCTCCTTTCAAAGTTTCAAACGTTTAAACTAAAATTGGACCCAAATTCCTGTGCAGGTCTTCAAGGGCCCCCTGACCTGACGGAGACTGGTTCTTCCTTCAAGCGTCCCACCCCTGACCAATCAGAAGAGCTCTCGGGCGCCTTTTCTTCTATTCCTCGTTTCCCCCAGGGTCTTGATACAAGTTGTGCACCCCAGGCCAAGAAGGGAACCCAAGAGCTGCGCTGTGAAATGGGTCGGAGTCGCAGAGCACGGCAAGGAACACTGGAGAAAGGGGAAGCCTAGCATCGAGCAGGCGCTCACTTAACAGGTGCCAAATAAAAAGGACGGAGTAGTGAGGCTGTGCCAAGCGTGTAGCCCACATTATTGCAAGGCACCACACGTCCGCGTCGCAGCCGTTCGATCCACAGCCCCACTGAACTCACAGCGGGCCCGCGGCGGAGACAGCTCCCGAACGTTGCGCACTTCCCACCGGCGCACACGCCGGACCCCAACCACCCAACGCAGCCTCAGCTCCGTCCACAGGCCTCCCACCTGTCGCTTGTTGGCCAGCACCTCCTCCGCAAGCTCCTCAACCTCCACCAGGTACCGCATCACCCGCTCTGCCTCGGGTGACAGCATGGTGCCCCGCAGATCCGCCAGCCCCTGCCCAAGCTCCGTTCAGGCCCCGTTCGGACCCCGCTCGAATGCGCATGCGTCGCTGTGACAGCGTTTCCAGTACGCATGCTCAATTTAAAGAACGTGACGCGCTGACTTCTACGTAGCGGGAGGAGAGAGGCGGAGCCTAGCCTTGGGGCGGGCCTGGCGCGCCCCCTGCGGGACCCCGGGAAGCACCGGCCTGGGAGCTGCCTCCTAGCTGCCCCTCCCGGGGTTCATATATTCCTGAGAAACTCACTCTGTGCCGGTTTTCGGTGCTGAGGACTCCGCAGTGAGTAAAACAAAGTCCCTGACTTAATATAACCGCATCCTAGTGGTAAATACCAATAATTAGTGACAAAACAGTCGATCCTCGAACAACACGTATTTGAGTCACACGGGTCCCCTCGTTTCTGTTTTTTCTGTATCTTTCTTCTCCACAGATATTTTTCCCAAGGGGTATTCCGCATACACGGGTTCAGCACCCCCACTCCGAGGGCGCTGGGTTTCCTGCTGCTGGGTGCCCCTCATGCCCCGCACTGGAGCTCAAAGGACCACTTTACTGTGGCAGGCCTTGGCAAGGGCTGTGCAGAAATAGAAACCTTCTCCTGTTCGAGGGGCTCCAGGAGACCCGTGTGTCGTTGTGACTTGCATGTAACCGCTGACATGTTTATAAGATGGGGGTGAATCAAAGTACCGCTCTTGTCTCTCCTCAGGCTGGGAGAGGCGGAATTTATTTTTAAGCTTGCCTCCCGGACTCCACTTTTTATTCACCCTTTTGGCTGCTGCAAGTCCAAGCCTTTTCACTCCCCTTATCTTACTTGAATTCCACAACCGTCTGTGTACAGGTGGCCTTTTGCTGCCCCGTTTCACAGGGACAGCCTGAGGCCAGGGGAAAGACAATGCTTTGTCACACAGCAAACCTGGACCAACAGTTGTGGGTCTAAAAGCACGGTGGTCTCTATACCGCAGCTGTCTCCAGATCCAGACTGGGACCCTTCTCTTGCTTTTTTTTTTTTTTTAAGATTTATTTTATTTAGTTATGCACACCAGAACTAGGGTACAAGTCAGAGGTGCAGAGGATAAGAAGATTCACCAGAGTCAGAGTGGGGAGCAAAACAGGCAGAGGTACTGAAATTCACTGCTGAGGGGGCAGCAGGCAGGTCAGGAGAGGTCTGCTGCACCATGTGGGTCAGCTCCCTGGTGGGGGGGTTGAACTCAGGAGGCAGTGGCTGCCTACATCTTCACACTGCTGTGCTTTAACCCTTTGCACCACCAGGGAGGGCCCTCACTCTTTTTTTTAAGCACCCTCTCTTAGGCTGGCCTTTGGCTGCCTTCAACATTAGCTAGAGATGGAGCTAATTTTCCCTGCAGCCTCCTGGCATGGGGAAAGGAGAGATTCATTAGGGATTCCTCATGGAGGGTGAATTTGTCGCCAAACCCAGGCTGTTTTGTGTAAACACCTTCTGGTTCAGAAATGTAGGCACAGGCCCTGTGAAGGAAAGGGGAATATTGCAAAGGAGAAAATGAGATCACCAGGCATTCCTGGAGCCTGGACTCCAGAACTGGGTCTCTTCCACCTTGGTGGCCAAAGAGGACTAGGATGACACTGCCAGGTGGGCCTGCATGGGGAGAGGCTGAAGAACAGCTCTTTGGCTGTGACAGGCCCTTAATGGGCTCCTGGGCCTCTGAAATTGTGGGGGGGGGAAGGTCATATCTAAGACTTTAAGATAGCCAGACAGACTTGGAAGGACTCCTTTCAGAACCACTTATTTTAAGAATCATTTATTCACAGATATTTATCAACTCTCCTGGCTCTGTAATGGCCAGGAGACCATGGGCAATACCAGAAATGGTCCTGGCATTCCAAGTCTTCCAGTCTGGTGAGAGAGACAGACAATCAACACAGGAAAAGCCATATGCCTTGTGGTGATACATGCTGGGCAGGCAAGGTGGAAGTGGATGGTGCTGGGGCTATTTGAGATAAAGTCATGGAGGACTTCTTTGATGAGGTGGCATTTGAGGAACAATGGAACAATGTGGAGAAGGTCAAGGGATGGATATCTGGGGAAAGAACAGTTTTTGTTTGACAAACTGGAAGAACAATGAAGCCATTGTAGGCGGCACCAAATGAGCAAAGAGGAAAAGGTAGGTGACATGGTCAGAAAGTGGAAGGAGACATTGAAAATACAGGGCTATGGAAGGGGCTTAGGTGCCCCCACCCAAATTGGCATGGGCTTCCTGGGAATTGCCCACGACATATTTCAGGTGCATGTGGCTTCCTCTTCTCTCTGCTCACTGACGCCAGCTGACTGGGCATATCCATGAATTAAAGCCTATAGGTTGACATTCAACCAAGAAGAGAGGGGCTAATGACAGCTGATTGCCATGTCCCTGTGTAGGAGACCCTCCACCATCTCCTTCTGTAGGATACCCAAGAGATGGATGCCAAAGTCATCCAGGTAAGAGGATGGTTGCTGGGTCAGGGCTTAGCAGTGGGGACGGTGAGCCATGGAATTCAGAGCTTCTGCATCAACCTGAATTAATATTCTCCCATACCTTTGTACCAAGGTAACTACCACATATTCCCCACTTACAGTATACTGTCACCTCCTCCCCAGAGTCAAGAGTCCCCAAGTGACTCCCACAGTTTCCTGGACTTTCCCCATCAATACGTGCCACCCCTTCTTTTTCCTTTAATCATCTCCCTCTCTGGTCATGAGTCCCTTAGGGTGGGGGCCTTGTTTCATTTACTGCTATGGCTTCAGAACCTTAAGTGGTGCCTGACACACAGTAGGTTTGCAGTTAGTGTTTGTGGAGTCAATGAGTGGATTTAAGACGCAGCATGTCCTAACATCCAAAGTATCCAAGGATGAGCAGAGCTAAGTCCAGGGTGACTGGGTCCTCCTCCCAGGAGGCAGAGAAGGCTGGCCTGCCACATGTTGTTGGGACATTGCTGAGAGTGGATCCCTCTGTACTGGGGCGGGGCTAATCCCTACTAAGTCATGTTAACCAGAAAATCTACCTGGTCTCAGTGGGGGATGAGCCCTGTCTGTCACCACCGCAAGCCCAGACCAAAAGGGATGTAACTGCTGGGGTTTTGTCAAGAATGGTGCTCCACCCTTTTTGCTGGTTTGTGCTCCCCTTGGGTGAGTGCTCAGTAACCAGTATCCACTTCTCTCCTTGGAGGGCTGCCTTAGGCTGCTGGGATCTCCTGGGGGGCTTATGTCCCTCCAAGCTGTAACCCATCATATCAGAGCTCTGAGAGGCCATCTTTCTTGCCTGGGTCGTGGTAGGGGTGTGGATAGATGGCTCTGAGATGTGACTTACACTCCAGCGTCCCCCTGGGGGGTCAGGATTCAGTGGTCCCCCATGACAGCCTAAAACCCCACATGGCTTCCTCTCCTTCCTTGTCCTCCTCCCCTACTCCTCTCTGGTCAAACCCCTCTCATCTCATTCTACAAAATCAAACTCCTACAAGGCATGCTCTACTCTGAGGCCTCTCCCAGTGATGTTCCTCAAACAAGCCTGTTGCAGCCCCACCTCAGGGCCTCTATGTTCTCTGTCCCCTCTTCCCACACTTGCCTCCGACGTCTGCATGTCACTTTCTGTCACCTTCCAGTCTTCACTTAAATGTCACTTTCTGGATGAGACCCACGGTCCTGACCATTCTATTTAAAAATGCAATTTGTTTCCCTCCCAGAACTCTTAGTCAGCTTCTTCTGCTTTACTTTTTACTTTCATTTAATGACATCTGTCACTTTCCAGCAGCGTCGCATTTACTGCTAGTGTTTATGGTTAATCTTTCCCTGCTGAGTAACAATGCCTAGCACAGTGCCTGAGCTGCAGGACATGCTCAGTGAACTTTTCTGAATGAATGAATGAAAGTTACAGAATTCTTACCAAGGAAGAGTCTGGCAGAGCCAGGCTCTTTCCCCGTAGGTTGCAGGCACAGGATGGGAGTGGTAGACCATGCCAGTCCTCACTGGCTAGGATAAGGGGGTTGAATTTTGCTCTCAGACACTGCAAAGCTAGCAGTGGATTTTAGCAAGCAGGGGTGGTAGACAGATGGATGTAATGGCTTTGCTTTGTGAAAGCTCCCTTTGGCTATGGTGACAGGATGGAAGAAACATACAGGAATGGTACAGTCACCTGTGTTTGGCAGTGGGGAGGTGGAAGGTGGTGCTGGGGGTCTTGGAGAGGGAACAGGACTGTGGCTGTGGGGGCTGGGAGCAGTGAGCATTCAGCTCGTTTCCCCAGTTTTCCAGCAGCCTGGGTGGCTGACCCACGGGCTCTGAGGTGTGAGCAGTCCAGGCTGGGCCTCCCAGCTGCTGACAAAGTGCCCCTGTCCCACAGATGGGCTGTTTGCTCTCCTGGGTGGTCCCTAGTTCCTCCCTCTGCTTCCTTTGTGCCCTGGTGGGTTTGGCAGGTGGAGGAGAGGCCTCCACCCCCTCTCCTCTGACCCAGACAATAATCCCTTATATTCATGCAATTCTCTTGTGCCTCCACTTCATCCTCCCACATGCCTGGGTCATGCAGAAATCTGATTCCCATTAGGTAGATGAGGACATTGAGGCCTAGAAAGGGGATGAGACCCTCCCAAGGTCATGTAGCCAGATGGGGACACCAGGTGGGAACCTGTCTTCCAACTCCCCAAGCCTCGATTGCATCAGGCAACAGATGGTTCCATGCCTTGACTTTAAGCATCGTAAGTAGGGGTCCCCCGCCCCCATGCACACACCCTGAGGGTCCCTGCTGCTGAATGGGGAGGGGCAGATGCTGTGGTGGCAGGTGGGCTAACTGAGAACAAGCAGCTTCACAAATGCTCTAGGAACTGCTGTGGCCCACAGGCACCCTGCATGCACCAGCCCCAAGGCAACAGTGGAAGGCAAAAGAGGAAGGTCAGTGGGTAGGATCAGCCCAGGAGGAGCCCAAAAGGAGATGGGCGAGGTTGTCACTAATCCTGAGGCTGTGAAAGTGAAAACAAAGCCCAAAAAGTCTGCAGGAAAGGAGAAATCTTTAGAAAAGCAGTGCCTGGCGCCACAGGAGA